GTACGAGACTTCCTCCAAAAGTCACACGTCAAGTCTCCAAAACGAGCGTTTCGTACGAGACTTCCTCCAAAAGTCACATGTCAAGTCCCCAAAACGAGCGTTTCGTACGAGACTTCCTCAAACTCACATGTCAAAGTCTGCAAAACGATCGTCATTTGGACATATGTAGCTTTTCGAACGTGTTTGCATTCGGGTTCGTGGGCTCCATCTTGTTTAATGTTTAAACACACAGAATTGAAGCCAAGAACGCCCGCTAATGCCCTCCACCGGTGCCTTTTGTTGGCTCTTCCTTTGACCCATCAGCCTGTCGGGGAATCGAATTTACCGGTGATGCCCCTCCACTGCGAGATGGCCACGCTGAGGCTGCCGCCTTCATGCAGGAGCTGGGCATTGATCCCAGCGAGGAGACGACATGGGGCGGACGGGCTAAGTGGGACGGAAGTCGTACAGAATTCGTACGACCGGGGTGGTCGAAATGGGGCGTGTGTGGGTGTTTTTGGATGTTCTTTGTGTAAGATCGAAGCGATGTACACCGTATCCCTATGTGCCTGTGACGCTTTGGAGGGCGATCTGTTTCCAGATGCTCCATGCCGGAAGCGACGATCCATAGCGATGTCAATGTGACAATATGTGACAATTACAGTATATAAGTTACTGTATGAATACTAAGGAGAGGCAACCTATGACACTCCTAAAGTCTCAGCCTCTCCTTAGGAGAAGCTAATACTTTCATGAGGTCCTTTTGTTGGTGAAGAGATCCTGAAAGTCACCAATACCCCGCGTCCACCCTCATGGACCGCGCGGTACCGTTTCGTGGCCTTTGTGTGTGGTTCCTGGTGGGTCACCGTGCTCCAGGAGGCCTACTTCGGTTGGATCGCCGAGTATGGCCTCCAGGCAGACGTCCTCCCCTCCCGCTGGAGCATGCACGTGGAGCCGCAAACGGGACGTCGCTCGGTGTGGGAGTCGGTCGAGATCTCGGCTGAGTGATCCACCCAGACGCTGCGTGAAAGCAGCCCTCAAAACCTATTTACTATAGGAATTGGTGAGACCCCCAAGACCCCTGACTCCTCCAGATTCGGATTCGCTGACCCCTGCCCTGTGAGGGTCCCCTAGGCTTCCAACAACCATTAATTGAATAGGCTTTACCGAATCAACTAAGGATTTTACACTACAAAAACCAGGTCAACCATTTTTAAAATGGTCTTGGAAGCCTAGGGGTCCATGATGCTGAGTGATCCATGAACCATTTCGAGTGCCTCATGAGCCACTTCATCGTGCCAACCGGCCTTTGAAGAGGTCGAAGAACGCACCGGACGCACCGGACCGGACCCCGGAAGCCAACCGAACCCCCCACCGGACGTGGAACGCATAACAGCGCTGAGGCCTCTACTACGTGAACTCCGAAGACGGCCGCCCGGTGAAGATCCGAAAGAGAAAAGAGCACCGCAACAGAGAGGTCTCTGAAGTGACAGGGGTTGGGGTCGGGTGACAGGGGCAATGAGGGTTGTTTTTGATGTGTTTTTTTTGTTTGTGTCAGATAAGACATGGGATATACAGCAGTATATGATACATGAAACAGCAGTCTTTCCACACACACTACAGTAACAAGCACCATCATCCTCCGCCCCAGGCCATCACGCCCATAGGCCCAGGCTCAGGATCCGTTCGGCCATGTCCGTTTGGCACCGAGGCAGCAGCAGCTGGGAAAACCCACTGACCGAGAGCTGCCTACGCCCCGTGATCGACATTGGCAGAGGCTACCTGCAGGCAGACTCCTGAGACTGCGACACGTGCCCAGGGAAGCTGCCATGAGGGCGGTTGTGGGGAGAATGGAAGGACTCCAGGAACTATGGTTGAAGAGGTCAGATCACCCGATCACATGAACGAACGAACCAGCAACGAACCAGCAGAAAGGATGGATTTGAGCCATTTTGAATCTGACGGGTAAACGCTTTTAGCTCCTAGGCTCATCAGGCCTCCTTCATGTACAGGGCATAGAAGACCTCCTTTGGAGGCTCCGACAACAAAAAAGATAGAGTTTTGAGTGGATTCTACAATTGTCACAGTCATACCACAGAAAAATGCCGCAGGCCCCATCCGACGGCTATTTCGAAGAGCAGCGACTTGGTGGCAGGTCGTCATGGCTCGTCAAACTTGAAAGGCATAGGGTGGGTGGCCAGTGGCCCCCAACTTAGCTATCGCCCATGGAAAAGGAGGGCATATTCTTGTGCACATGATAAATTTTGATCTCATTTAAGGGGTTTATGCTGGAATATTGGACTAATATTGGACTGGGAGGGGGGGTTCGCGGGGCGCCATTATGTCACAAGCCTGTAGCTTCTTTTTTCTGCCGGGTCAACCGATTGGTCGCAGATAACGATGTGACGATGAGAGTTGGGCTATCCAAGTGGTTTCTTCCATTTGTTCCACTAGACTTTTGACAATTTTGCTGTTCCAATAGACTTGTTCCAGTAGAGCTCATGGTTTAATGGCTTGGTAAGGACACCACAGAGTGTCTGCTGTTTCCAATGCAAGCCTGCCCCGGTTCTGCCGTGGCCCTTTTCGTGTAGACGTCAGGCTCGACAGCTGGGTAGGTCTTCGTACGACAACCAGGTCAGAGATGTGCCTGGACCATCCTGTCTGAGTGTCCTCTCTGGAGATCCCTACTCGTACTGGTCGTGTAGGGCAGTCCAGCCAGGACTCCCAGACAGGATGGTTCTGGTGTGTATGTGTATCTAAATAGGGAGACTTCCCCCCTACAGTAGAGTCCCCCCACACTTCGGACAATGGGGAGACTCGTCCCCCACCATCGGTATACTAGATGTGGGCTCCCGAACCTCGGCCAGTTTCTCCGGTTCGCTTCGTCGTCGACTGGGAAGTCTCCGTCTGGGTTTCAGAAGAACGAGAAGGACCAGGGCAACCAGGGGGGGGTTCTCTAAATGGACTGAGACATGGACCAAAATGCATGGACATGAACATACTGCTACGAAATGAACCATCTCTGCGTGCTCATGGGTCAAAACACGGTTTTGGGATGTCGCTACACTGCTGATAGAATCAGAATGCATTGATGGCATTGCCCATTATTGTGGTGAGCTTTTGGCCTCCTCTTGGGCAGACTTGACCTATTGATTTTGCTTGGCCGTTTGCTCCAGCATGTGCATCCCCCAAATCCACAGAATATGCAGCAGGAAAAAACACGACTCAAACATGTCTCATCCTGCTGCACGTGAGTGGTTTCGGGCCTTTGAGCGCCACGGAACCGTCAACACGACACGCTGCATGTGAGGAAGATGGCGCTCTGGGCAGCCCACAAGCACAACTTGGAGGCCCAGCGACAACACGTCACTGCGACAACGCGTTGCGGCGGTGATTTCGGCTCCTCCTGCAACGATGTGGGTGATGTACTGGTGGATTGGGGGAGATTCCTATTGTCCCGAACTGGGTGAATCCCAGTGGCCGGGGTATCCAAGAGTGATCCTTTAACTACTCGGTTTAAGGCTTTTGAGGGCGATTATCTTTTTCCCGTGACTGAAGCAAATCCATGTTCATTTTTAAGCTTGCCTGGCTGGGAGGGTTCCACCAGCCACACTGTTGATGGGATGCATAGCTTAGGGGTTGAGCCCCAATGGAAGCTCCCCTGCGCATTTGGTTCAGGTGACTCCCAACGTGGTGCAGCAGGGACTGTTCATTCACATTCTCCACGATTGTCGATGGTCTTTTGGCACCAGTCTCCCACCTGCCGGAAAGGTTCTGGCATTTTCCCAAGGTTTGATAAAAAGGGACGTCAAGTCGAAATCCGCCAACTTGGGGTGTCCAATTCTCTCTTTCTTGCCGGATCCGCCGACCTCTCACCTGCACTGGCCACACCAACGGCGGAGGTTGGGTGGGCGGGGGAAAACGGGTCTTTGGAAGTGGCTCGTCGGGTCACCTCCGCACGAGGTACAGTGAGACGTTCGCCTGTACAGCAGGCCTCACACATGGCGTTTTGGAACATGTGTGGTACCCTAGTTTTCCTGAAATCCGTGTCGATGATGGAGTCAGCCACGCAGTTGAAGATGAGTTGGGTGGCAGCAACAGGGTAAACACTGTACTTCTTCTGCCAGGTACCTGCATCGCCTTGCAAGGTTGAGCTCCACCTGGAGCAGTAGAATCATGTATGGATGTGCTTCCAAGCTTGATCCTTGACAAGCCCATGGACCAGCTTTGAGCAGATCCGGGTGTGAACCGCGGGGAGTACGTGCCATGAGTACTGCATGAAGTAGCGTTTTCCGCCCCACTTCTTTTTCACGTGGACCACTTAGAACTAGCAGTGTTTGGAAAAGGGACTCCCCCAAACCCACCAAAAGCTGGGAATCCCCCAAACCCACCAAAAGCTTTCTCACTAGCCAGAACCTCCCTCCTTTGGCAAGCTCCAACCTTCCAACCTTCCATTCGGAACACCGTTCGGTCTCGAACCACAGTTCGGTGTCGAACCGCAGTTCGAGACCGCTCCAGGGCTGGCATGGACCTCACGTGGATGAAGACGGACGCGAGTACTACGCCAACTCCGAGCTCAACGTCTCCTCGTGGCAGGACCCCAGGGAAGAGACACAGTCCCTTGGACTGAAAGCAAGGAGTCCATGGCCCTCCCTGCCTGTTGAAGCGGACGGAGTCGACCATTTGCTTTCACAAGCTAGTCTTGACCAAGGTTCATCCTGGTATCAACAGGATCAATCACTTCGCTTGTTTCCAACACCCCCATCACCCATTTCAAAGCCGATCACGTCCAAGATGGACACAGCCAGCTGGATCACGTCCGCATCAGGTTCATCTTCGAGCTGCAGAGCGGCCTTTTGGATGCGCTCGAGGAGCAGCACGTGGGAGCGGCCAGCGGAGCGCGGAGCGGTCAGGGCGGACGGAGCACGTGGCGAGCGCGGTCGCGGAGCGGTCGAAAGGGTCCCGAGGTCCATGGTGCGGAGGTTGGGCGAAGACCGCTGCAGTTGGGGTTGCTGGTCAATCAAATGATTCTTTTTGGAGGGGAAGGTGTGATTTGTCATGGATTTGTCATGGGGAAGATGGTCTGTGGTGTGCCTCTCTCTACAAAAAAGAGTGACATATTAGGTGAGATTGTTGATATGTTCCAAATATTTCCAAATATGAATCCTCTACTCCAGGTATAATATAATAAGATATTGCCATGGCTGCAATGGGATGCCATGACTGGGCCACCAGCGTTTGGGAGATCTGAGTTGGTCTCTACCCACCATGGCCCAAATCTCCAGCATTGTATTTGCAGCATCTCCCAAGCTCCCCCACCAGCCTTAATCACCCAATCAAGCGAGGCAAATGCAAGGAACAGGGAAAGAGAGACCTCTTCTTTCGCGTCCTCCGCATCCTCCATGTCCTCCCTCCGTCCTTGGTGTGACACGGAGCGACCAAGAGAACCGGTCTTCAATCAAAGAGATGCCTGATATTGTCTGAGTCTGTCAGAAAGCCAGGCTGGCACAGACCTGGCACAGACCTGGCACGTCATTCTCTAAACTTCAGTAGCTTCAGGGTGATTCTTTGATGATCCCCTCGCAGCTAACAGATCCTCCGTTATTTGGCTTTTCAAGCGGCGCGGCGGTTTCATCCACATGGGAAGTGCGCGTTTGTTGCACAGCGTTTGTTCCACATGGGATCAGTCTACTGAGAAACACCGACACCTATTCATCGGATATGTGGCCGGCATGTCGTGCCTGGAACCTGAAACGACCACTTTTTTTT